CCGAGCCTAAAAAACTTTTTTAAAAAATAAAATCACATCTGGATCTCTTCAGCAACACAGTAATTAAGTACTTACCTTTTTTTGCTTTTTTAGATTTTATCTGTACATTTTCAAGAAAAAATTATTTTCAGAATAAAATATTCAAATACAGAAAATCTTATCAATTTGAAATAGAAAGGAGGGCAGACAAAATTGATCAAAATGTTGAACTAGACCTTTTTAAAAATCAGTTACATTATTTTCTAATACTTACGGAAAGTTGAATTAGGTGAATGAAGTATTTCCTAGCACAAGTTTTAAAGTGATTAACAGAGACAAATAAAAGACATATTTACATTGGAACACTGGGTAGCATACTAAGTGGTACAATATGAGCAAAGCCTGTTTTACCAGTGGCTAGGGACCCTCAGGCATTAGAAGGAAGGCTCTGTTCAGATGAGTAAACAATTTATCACAGCTCTAAAATGATGCTTGCACAGTTATGAGAGGGCCTTTACCTAACAAATCCATCAGTGTAACCTAATTTTTTGTACCCTCAATGAATCCTAAACAATATAAGTAAATAAATCATATCCTCGAAAATAAAATGGTGCCTGAGGTAGCTCCCCTTTTAAATCACTCAAAAAATAAAAATAAAAGTAAAAACAGGTTGTGTACTCACCAAGGGTACTGTTTACCAAACTGAAGGTGCAGGGCCTGCAATATTTTGTCTTGGGTGTCAGCATCCCGGACATGAAGGACGTTTTCTCCTAGGTAAATCCAGTCACACATTAATGGATATGGAAGTGGGAATATTCAAAGAATAAAGAAGGTATCAGTGTATTGTGCTCATGATTAGTACAGAAAACCAGCAGATTTCAAACACCCTTAATGTCTTTTATTAGGAAGACATCAACTTTTGTATCTTATACCTTTTGAAGCATGCTCAGTAAGATTTCCATGTTTGTTTTCATTGTTGTTGTTTGAGACAGAGCCTCACTCTGTGCCCCGGGGTAGAGTGCCGTGGTGTCAGAACTCACAGCAACCTCAAACCTCTTGGGCTTACATGATCCACTTGCCTCAGCCTCCCTAGTAGCTGGGAGTAGAGCTGCCCACCACAATGCCTGGCTAGTTTGTTTTTTAGAAACAGGGTCTTGCTCTTGCTCAGGCTTAAACTCCTGAGCTCAAGCAATCCACCTGCCTTGGCCTCCCAAAGTGCTAGGATTACAGGCATGAGCCACCATGCTCAGCCTTCAATGTTTATTAAAATAAATAAGGCAGATTAACCTAGCATCACTTACCACTTGCCTAGTCATCTCTCAGGTCTACTCTTACTCAACTTGCCCTGCCTTCCATCTACTCAGCCAGTCATTCCCTCAGCTGGACAAGCAGTCACTTTCCCCACGTTTCCCAACCAATGTAAGAGTGTAAAGACAGCAAAAGTGGCCACCTTTTTCAACAAGCGTGGCTAAAGGGAAAAGAGTGGGGGCTGGGCAGTAGTTGTTTTATTCTTAAGATGTGAAAGGCCTAATTGTTCAAATGAGGAGATTAAACACATGCAGAAAAAGGAGAACCGATGGGTAGGTTCCGGAGAAGGCAGGAGGGTGGGAATTGAGAACACAGGCAGAAGGATGAGCAGTGGACAGATGGAAGAGATACCTAGACCGACACCCCATCCCACCCCCTACACACACTGTAAAGACGGTAAGAAGGAAAGCATGGGATGGGCACACATGTTTTTACAAGTTTATTTTAGTGTGATAGCAGAAAGTACAGAGAAAGACCATGTTGCCACATCCAGTGTTCAATTCTCCTTTCATGTCTTAGTGAAACCTGAGCAGCATCCAACACCATCTCCCTGAAACACTTTATTTTCTGGATTAATGATATCACACTCTCCTGGGTTTCCCTCTGACCTCACTGGAAATTCTTCAGTCTTCCTTGCTGGCCCTTCTCTCTTCACCAGAACTCTAAATGTTGAAGGGTTCCAGAGATTGGTCCCGGACTCCATTCTCTGTCCTATTTATAAGTTATCCCTGGGAAATCTCACTTAATCTCTGGGCTTTAAATATCATTTATGGCAGAGTGCTGTTGATGGCTGTTGCCCTCAATATCCCTTTTTTATACTAGCAGCACGATTTTTAGCTGTCATCTGATCACCCAACCAAAGACTACATCCTTTAGCTTGGCTTGCAGCTGGATGTGGCCATGTGACAGAGTTCTGACTGATATGAGAAGAAATGTTTGCAACCTCTAGGTCATGCCTTTAAAGGGAAAGGCATCTTCCCCATTCTTGTTCCCAAAGGTAACATATAGACTTAATAGCAAGACTGGAACAACTATCAAGCAGACAGTCTGATGACTGTGGAGCTGTCATATCAGTGAAAAAGAAAGAAAATCTTATTTAAGCCACTATTATTTTAGGTCTATCTGTTATGGCACTTGAACTGATAACTAATTCTACACCATCTATGTGCCAATGTCTCTCAAATTTATATCTACAACTCTGACTCCCGGGAACTATCTAGCTACTTATTAGCCATTTCTACCTTATTTAATAGGCATCTCAAACTGTTTTTTTTAAATAACATTTATTTATTTACCTATTTTTAGAGACAGAGTCTCAAGTTGTCACCCTGGATAGAGTGCTGTGGTGTCACAGCTCACAGCAACCTCAAATTCTTGGGCTTAAGCAATTCTCTTGCCTCGGCCTTCAGAGTAGCTGGGACTACAGGCGCCTGCCACAACACTTGGCTATTTTTTTGGTTGTAGTTGTCATTGTCATTTGACAGGCCCAGGCTGGATTCAAACCTACCAGCTCAGGTGTATGTAGCCCTAGCCACTGAGCTACAGGCACCAAGCCCAGCATCTCAGACTTGATTTGGCCTTAAGAGAACTCTTGCTTCCATCCCTTCTCAAATCTGTTCCTTCCTCAGTGTCCCCAGTATCAGAAAAGAACACACTGCTCAATCTAAAAATCTAGGCTTAAGTATTGATTCCTTTCTTCCTTCACCTCTCATATCCTAGCAAGGGCTATAACAAATCTCATCAGCAACAAACTCTAAATCTTGTCTAAATCTCTATCTATAATATTACCACTTAGTCTCACCTTATATCTGAATAACTGAAAAAGCCCTTGAGCTGTTTTTCCTGCTTCCACCCTTGTCTTACCACATTCTACTCTCCATATTAGCATCCAGAGCAAACTTTCCAAAATACAAGTCACACAGAGGTGCTCCCGCCTTTAAATGGCCTCTCATCCAGTGTAGTCTGGCCGGCCATCTCTTCAGGGATGGAGCCGCCAAATTGTGGCTAGGCGCATCCCTTCTGAACACAAGAGGGTCTGGCCGCGGAGTCTGGGGAAGAGGTGACCTAGCTGCCTATCAAATATTAGGGGAGCAGGGCTCTGGTGCCCCTAGACCCTGAATTCACTGAAGACCATGAGGGTCCAGAGTGGTATGGCTTTTTGGAGATCAGCTGAGTTACCAACTTTGGCTCTACTTTACAGGTGCAGGAAGCCATCCTTAGGCAAGGCCCCAGCTCTGCCAAACAGATTAGGGAAGTCCTGCCCCCACCACAGGACACTTTTCAATCTCTGTGTACAATCTAGATCATGGGGCATGTCCCCTACTTCAGTAATAGAGGTCACACAGTTTCCCAGAGTGAGGCTGCAGCACCCTGATCACTGGGCGTACACCTCTGGCCTGGGGCACTGCTCACTGGGGAACGTGCACCATACGCTTGACATTCACACCCAGAATAGGAAAACCAGTTCCAATCTCCTTGATAACTCAACTGCAGTATGTTATGAAATTCAATTTCTAGCCTCAGAACTTCACATTCAAAAGGAGCTGTGTTTTTCATAATACTAAAGCACCCCTTAGTATCCTAGGAAAAACAATTTTTTTTTAGAGACAGAGTCTCACTTTATCACCCTCGGTAGAGTACTCTGGTGTCACAGCTCACAGCAACCTCCAACTCCTGGGCTTAGGTGATTCTCCTGTCTCAGCCTCCTGAGTAGCTGGGACTACAGGTGCCCACTACAATGCCTGGCTATTTTTCTGTCGCAATTTGGCCGGGGCCAGGTTTGAACCCACCACCCTTGCTATATGGGGCCAATGCCCCACCCACTGAGCCATAAGAACAATGCACCCTGGCTCGGTGCCGGTGGCTCAAGTGGCTTCAGGTGCCAGCCATATACACCAGAGCTGGCGGGTTAAAATCCAGCCCAGGCCTGCCAAACAACAATGACAACTACAACCA